ATTTTATTTATTTATTTGAGAGAGAGAGAATGAGAGACAGAGAGCCCGAGAGGGAGGAGGGTCAGAGGGAGAAGCAGACTCCCTGCCGAGCAGGGAGCCTGATGCGGGACTCGATCCCGGGACTCCAGGATCATGACCTGAGCCGAAGGCAGTCGCTTAACCAACTGAGCCACCCAGGTGCCCCAGACATACTGATTTAAACAACACACCTAGCACTTTAATAAAAAACTGTCCCTATATTTCATTAATGATAAAAAAATTCTGGCAGAATACATTTTTCAAATTAAAAAAAATATGCCCAGGTCCATGATAGAATACTTTTTCACATATAGTAGAATTTGTTGTTTTAAGAGAACCTTCTTTTTCACTTATTTTTTCATTACTTAAGAACTAAGACATGTGTGATAAGATGGCTTTCCTGTAAGGCAACCTGTGGTAGGTAGCCTCGAAGATTTCCTCAGTGCATGTCTCCTCATGTAATCCCTTTCTTTTAAGTGTGGTCTGGATTTAGGGACTCGATTCTACCAAACTGTGTATAACTGAAGTGATGGGATGTCACTTCCAAGACGAGATTATAAAAAATCTTCAGCTTCCATCGTGGAAACTTTCTCTCTTGTTTACTGGTTTTCCCCTCCTCTCTGCTCCTCTCCCCTGATCTCTCTCAGCCTAATCACGCATGAGAGAGGTGGTTTGAAGAAGACAGGCCTGGAAAATCAGAGCCACATGGAGGAGAATCGAGGTAACCCAGAGAACAACCAGCAGCACGGTCAACTGAGCGAGTGCACCTTCCTAGAAACATACACGCAGCCCAGTGCAGGCTGCAGATAATGCAGTCACAGTCAAGTGCTCATGAGGTAGAATAACCTCATGAGGGACCTTGAGTCAGAATCAGCCAGCTAAACTACTCCTGAACTCATGATCTAGAATAACTGTGAGACAGGGGGGCCTGGCTGGCTCAGATGGTGGAGCATGTGACTCCTGATCTCAGGGTTGTGAGTTCAAGCCCTAAGTTGGGTGGGGATGCTACTCAAAAAAAACCAGGACTAGAATAACTGTGAGGCAATGTTTGTTGTTCTAAGCCACTAAGGTTTAGAGTAATTAATTACAGAGCAATAGGTGACCCAAGGATCTGACTCTTGAGGATAGTATTACAAATATGAATGCATTCAGAATCTCATGCTTTATACTTTGAATATTTGAATTAAACTAGAAGAATATGGTGACATTATAAGAATACCTTTATCATGAAGAAGCATAAATTTGCCACTCTTTTTTAGCTCATGGAATAAGAGTTTGGTGTTTTCCCTGAGATCTGCTGAGTCTCCTGAATCAAATATAAATATTTCATAATCAAACTTCATTGAAACTGTTTCTAACAATGTACTAGTTAACCAATAAAAAATGGTAGTCTTACCTCCAAAAAAGTACTTCTCGCCAGTTTTAACTTGAAGAGGACTATTAGTTCGAACAGCTGAAGCCTCGTCTCCATCGATGGTGAGAATGGCAAAATTTTCCTTAGCCAGGAAACGAACCTCATGCCACTGTCCGTCATTCAACCCAGAACCTGTTAAGTAAAAAAAGTCATTTTCTAAAGATGGTACAATTTAACACAATTTTCAGTACCAACAAGGTCAGAAATTTGTTGATAAAGATTAGCATATTTTCATCTAGAAAAATTCAGTACTACTTGCAATTGATATCATGTTTCTTTAATATCAGAAGTGGTTCTAGCCTCCATTTGACAGATAAGGCATAACAGAACCCAATAAAGTAGAGGAATAGTTATTAATGTGCCATTGGTATACCTGGGAAAATGAATGGAGTGAATAAAGCTGTTTGGGAGGTGAGGATGAACTATTTTAATTTAATTACTTATTTTATGATTAGGTTTATTAGAAGTCATTCTCTGATAACAAAATGGATTTATGACTTTTATCTAACATCTCTCTCTGTTTTTAAGAACTTTTTTTGTACCATTATTTTCTCTCAGTAACCATGTCTGGCAAGTATATAGTTTGTAGAAATTAAGAACTAAAAACTATGTGCTAATTAACCACTCATAACCATAGGAAATAATGCCAGTGTTATCTGATCATTTATATATTTTTTTAAGATTTTGTTTATTTATTTGACAGAGAGAGACACAGCGAGAGAGGGAATACAAGCAGGGGGAGTGGGAGAGGGAGAAGCAGGCTTCCTGCAGAGCAGGGAGCCCGATGCGGGGCTCGATCCCAGGACCCTGGGATCATGACCTGAGCCGAAGGCAGACGCTTAACCAACTGAGCCACCCAGGCGCCCCTGATCATTTATAAATAAGGTATCTTTATAACGAATTAGGTTATATTTAAACATACAAACCAACAAAAATAAATCAACAGCTCCCACTCCAAACAACCACATTTCACTGTGGCTTAGTACAAAGATCTTTGGAACCAAAAATTCTTTTAAACATTCCATTAGACAGATAATAACTTAAAGTTTTTGTTTAGTTTGTGCTCATTTTGTAAAGAATAGAAAACTAAGGACCAAACAAAGGAGATCAGCAACTGAACATAAGCATCTGGAAAGAGTTTAAGAAACACTAAGAGAGAGACAGAGAGAGAAAGTCTAAGAGGGTCAGAGTGGCTTTCTTTGAACATACAAAGGCCTTGTTATGGCAAAGGGAAGGGATTTTGTTCCAGGCCAGATAGAATAATTCAGAATTCACAGGAAGAAGTTACTTGAAGATACACTTCAGATTCACAGAAGAAAGAGAAGCCTCGCAAGTAAAGGTAGCTAAAAATGAATGAGAGCAAGTCAGTGAAGCACAGATGACAGCTCCAAGCCTCTGATCAGAGGTCTGCAAATCAGTTTATAGGCCCAACCTGGCCTGCTGTTGTCTGTTCCTGTATGGCCTGAGAGCTAAAAGTAGCTCTCACATCTTTAAATAGCTGAAAACACATAATAATAATAACGACAATAACAACAACATATGAGAATTGTATAAAACTGAAATTTCAGTGCCCACATAAAGTTTTGTTGGAACACAGCCACTCATTTGCTTACATACGGTCTTGCTCTACAAAAGCCGGAGTCAAGCAGTTGCTACAGAGACTTGTTATCACTCACAAAGCCTAAACAATTTACCCTGTGGTCCTTTGCAGAAAAAGCCTAAACTTTCGGTTGGCTGATACTATTAAACAGAAATATGATTTTAATGAAAAAAATTAAAGCCTGTTGGAGCTTATAAGACTGTCACATAGATGTAGTATTTACTGGTGTTACACTGGTAAAAAGCATTACAAATAACCACACCTCAGATATTTTTTTTTTTAGGATTTTCAAATTTTAATTTAGAAATACATATTCAGCACATTTTATTTCAATGGACGAAAATAGAAAATCCCTGCTCTAAAGTGATTAATACTGAATAACCTCCAAGTTACAAAATGTATAATATATATGCACAATTTTGTACTGTGAAATTACAATGTAAATGTAAAGTCTTACTCTAAAATTAAAATCAGTTAGCTGTCAGACAAGTAGTAGTGTTTACTGAAATATTTCCTTCTCAAGTGGGTTACATCAGGGTTCTCCCACAGAACAGAGGCACAGAAGACTGTATCTTCACCATAACATTTTTCTGTAGAGCACAAAACTGGGTCTAGTGTTGATTAAACACAGAAGTGCATGGTTTTGGGTTTTGCCTTTTAAATGTGATGAGCCCTGCTTTGAAATGCAATTTTGGGGCATGGATCCCAAGGACATCAACGTTACAAATGTTCAGTCTCAAAATTTAATTCTAAATAATCACGCATCCAGAAAAGGTCACTTATAAAATACCATCAGCTGACAAATCTTTCAGTTCTAAACAGTAGACCAGAATGCCTTTCTAAAAATTCTGTGAACATTTCTCCATCATACAATTAATTTACAAACGAACATCATCAGCTTAATTGTTCATAGCAAAAAGGTCTATTATTCCAATCAGATAAAAATAAAAAGGTTATTCTTTTCAAGAAAATTAATTACTAAATTAAAACTCAGATAAAAGCAGGCTTGTTGATAGCAACCACTGCTGCATCTGAGCTTAAACTGTGATTTCTATTCATTTTAATTCCAATTATTATTTTGTACTTTTAACCTTCAAGAGGTATGCCTTAGCAATCTATGATAGGAATAGGCTCCCAGATACAATGAAGTTCAATTCTTCAATGGGGGAAGAATGATTCACTTGCTAAGAAGAAAAATACGCTACTTTTTAAAAAATTTTCTTCTTCCACATGTTATAAAAAATAATAGCCTGACGTCTTTTTTTTTTTAATTTTATTATGTTATGTTAGTCACCATACAGTACATCATTCGTTTTTGATGTGGTGATCCACGATCCATTGTTTTCGTATAACACCCACTGCTCCATGCAGTACGTGCCCTTCTTAATACCCATCACCAGGCAAACCAATGCCCCCTCCCCCCTCCCCTCTAAAACCCTGTTTGTTTCTCAGAGTCCATAGTCTCTCATGGTTCATCTCTCCCTCTGATTCCCCCCCCTTCATTTTTCCCTTCCTTCTCCTAATGTCCTCCATGCTATTCCTTATGTTCCACAAATAAGTGAAACCATATGATAATTGACTTTCTCTGCTTGACTCATTTCACTTAGCATAATCTCCTCCAGTCCCATCCATGTTGATGTAAAAGTTGGGTATTCATCCTTTCTGATGGCTGAGTAATATTCCATCGTATATATGGACCATATCTTCTTTATCCATTCATCTGTTGAAGGGCATCTCGGCTCTTTCCACAGTTTGGCTATTGCGGACATTGCTGCTATGAACATTGGGGTGCATATGGCCCTTCTTTTCACTTAATCTGTGTCTGTGGGATAAATACCCAGGAGTGCAATTGCTGGGTCATAGGGTAGCTCTATTTTTAACTGTTTGAGGAACCTCCACACTGTTTTCCAAAGGAAACAGTCAACAAAACAAAGAGGCAACCCAAAGGATGGGAGAAGATATTTGCAAATGACACTACAGATAAAGGGCTGGTATCCAAGATCTATAAAGAACTTCTCAAACTCAACACCCAAAAAACAAATAATCAAGTCAAAAAGTGGGCAGAAGATATGAAAAGACACTTCTCTGAAGAAGACATACAAATGGCTAACAGACACATGAAAAAATGTTCATCATCATTAGCCATCAGGGAAATTCAAATCAAAACCACATTGAGATACCACCTTACACTAGTTAGAATGGCAAAAATGGACAGGGAAAGAAACAACAAATGTTGGAGAGGTTGTGGAGAAAGGGGAACCCTCCTACAGTGAAGTCTTTTTCCAGAGCAGAATCTAACTGCATTAGCTCTGTATATGGATATATTTAAAGATACAGTGTTCTAAGCTCAATATGCTACTCACTCTGATAAGTCCTTGCATTTGATTCATTTATAATTCACACTAAATGTTTTAGGAATTATTGCCTCAAATAAATAGGTGAGAAAACTGAATCTAATAAAGTTTAAGCATCACATAGTAAATGGCAGAAGATAGAACTGAAACACAGATATATCTGGTTGCAGAGGCTCAATTCTTACAAACAAGAAACAAAAATGAACCAAAAAACAACAAAACATGTTATATATCTCTATGCACCCATGATCAGAATTCGCTTACACTGTGTGCATGCACACATGCGCACTCGTACACACACACACACACATTTCCACTGCCACCACACCTGGACAGAGCTCAAATTCTGGGATGTCCTTGTCTCACATAGCATTAGGATGGTAAATAACTGACACACCATCCAGTTTCATTTGCTAATTTTCAGCATTTGCACCATCAGATTTTTGTGGTATTGGAATCTCCTCCATGCTATACGTCTTTTATATTTTCTTACATCGATGGTTTTCCCTCACAACTGTAATTAAAATTAAATTTTATATTAAAAGTATGAGAATCAAGATCAAGCATTTTCTCTAAGGCACATTAGAATAAGCCCATGAGTATTCGTTTAAATCATTTTCATACCTTGTGAAACTCTGAGCAAACAGAACTTTGTGTTCACTTTTTTTACATAAGGACTAAAATAAAAAAAAATATATATGTGACTTCTCCTGCAAACTTGTTCCAAATTTGTTTTGCCTTTACCATTTCCTGGACCATCTGTTACTTGGAGGGTATGGTACAGATTTAGTTTTGTTTCAGAAAATCTATAAGGAATAGCATCTTTACGGTGTTTTTTTAAAAAGTAACAATTTTGTTTAGCAAATTTTAATTCATATGAAATCGAACATAAATTTAAGAGCTTTTGGAATTCATTATTTGAAATTCACTCAGACTACCACTGTTGATCAGATTGTTGCTATAAGATAGGTACTTATAATAAGTATTAATACATTTATTCAGGAAAAAAAGTATCATCATCTCAAATTTTATTAGAAATTTGTGAGTCACAGGGGTGGCTCAGTTGGTTAAGCATCTGCCTTTGGCTCAGGTCATGGATCCAGGGTGCAGGGATGAAGCCCACAGTGGGAACCCTGCTCAGCAGGGAGCCTGCTTTTCCCTCTCCCTCTGCCCCTCCC